TTCTACTCCATTATCAGTCAACCTGACATAATGTGAATGAGATATTTTATAGTAAAAGTTCTGGAAAAGCATAGTGAATTCTAAAGTGGATCCTTAACATTCCTGTGAAGTGTCAAATGACTAGATGTGTGTTGATCATGCACACCAAGATGGATGTGTTGATCAATTCACCTTTTAAATATGAATAAAGAAATACGATACCTGATTTCTTGGTACCTTTTGTACTACTTCCTTTGTAGTCTTTCCAACCAGTGATATGGCTGTTTAAGGAGGCTAAATACTTTAAAAAAAAATTCTGCTCTGATAACCAAGAAATCAGGTATCTTATTTCTTTGGCGCTGTAGCTCAAGTGGTAGAGTGCTAGCCTTGAGCTGAAGAGCTGAGGGACAGCGCCCAGGCCCAGAGTTCAGGCCCCACGACTGGACCAAAAAAAAAAAAAAAAGAGTCTTGGCAAAAACTGTGGTCATATTATAGTACCCTACCTGTGCCATAGAAATGAAAAGTAGAACTGAGCGAAAGAAAGCAGCTAGATTCTTCAATCCCCGTCTTTCTTTTTAAATTTTTTTTTTTTTTTTTGTCGGTCATGGGGCTTGAACTCTGGGCCTGGGCGCTGTCCCTCAGCTCTTCAGCTCAAGGCCAGCGCTCTACCACTTGAGCTACAGCGCCACTTCCGGTTTTCTGGTGCTTTATTGGAGATAGGAGTCTCACGGTCTTTCCTGCCCGGGCTGGCTTTGAACCTCAATCCTCAGATCTCAGCCTCCTGAGTAGCTAGGATTACAGGCGTGAGCCACCAGCGCCCGGCTTAAAAAATTTGTTTAATTGTTATTGTAAAGGTGATATACAGATGGTATAGTTATATGTCAAGTAATGAATATATTTCTTTCTGGACAATGTTACCCCTTATCTCAATCTCTCCCCGTTTTCCCCTCCCACAAGTTGTTGTATAGTTCATTTTCAGCATAGTATTTAGTAAGACTCACTGCTGCATTTGTTCACCTTTTGTTCCTCTATTTCTGTGCCCACCTTACCCTTCTACAGACAAATGAATGAAAAAATGACCAAAAAAGAAAAAAAGAAAAAGGAAAGAAAAACAACAAAAGAAAAAAGCTTTTGTTTCCATTTCTTGAAATATAATAATAAATATTATGTAAAATATAATATAAATATATTGTAATAAGTATAAAATATTATCTTATATGATCAATGCACAGAGACATTACACCTCTGTGTTCTTCCCATAAGAGAATCCTCCTTCAGTCTCACTGTATGTGAATGTCTAGAGTCCTGTATAATTTATCATGTCCCTGTGCATTTTAGATCTAACTTCCACATATGAGAGAAAACATATGCCATCCGTTTCTGTACTTCGTTTACCTTACTAACATGATTTGTTCTAGGTCCATCCATCTTTTTATGGAACTTTCTTCCCCTATGACTATATTACATAATGAGTTAATACCATTTTACTTTGATTGGAGCCAATCAAAGTAAAACACCAGGGCTGCTGTCGTTTTCACCAAGAAATCTTTTATTTACTAATGTTGACAGGGGCACATGTGACCACAGCATTTTGTGAGGCAGTTGAATTGCTGTTTATATTCGACAACAAACCAGAGAATGCTAAGGGAATCAGGAACAACAGAGGAGCAGAGCTGCTCTACAGCCCTTTTCTCCCCAATCATTTGTTCTGAGGGTTGAACAAACAAGATTATTCATTATAATGAGGGGCTCTAATTGTACTCAAGTGTCACAATATTATGTTATTTCTACTCTCTAGAGGCCTCACCTGTGTCCTTTTGGCATGTATCTGTTTGTAGTAGTCACTTCCCAGCAGTGTTCAGTGACCACATTTCCTCAGCACAGATTAATCATTCTTAACATTGCAAATGTATGCATTTAAACCAAGCCTCTAACAAATATGCATTTGATAGGTAGGTGGAGAAGGCAATTTTGCCATTAAAGTATCAAAGGTAGAGAGACAGTCCTGGCTGTTGACATCAAAAAAACTCCTGAAACAAGTCAGAGTAATGCTAATGTGTATATAATTTTTTATTAGTAACAGTATGGAGAAAGGTATACTTAAGTCCTTGGCCATACAAGTGAGAACATGCTGTGTTAGAGAAGAAGATAGGAAAGCAAAACCCTATAGATACGGCTTTAATAATAACTGAGACAATCTCAGGCAAACATTTGAAGTCTTTGAGCCTTACATCTTCATGTATTTATTGTAGAATTAAATATAGCAGTGTGGAATAGAAAACTCTTTCCAACTCTGAAGTCTCCAGTTCTCTGAGTTGAATTTTGCATATGGAAACTGTTCTTTCTGTTAATCCAGTCCTGTTAGGATTATCAAAATGTACTACATATTTTGTCTTAGTCAAGAAGTAGTCAAAGACCTAAGCTAGGTTCATTTAGCTATTCTCAGAATATCATTTTGAGTGGATTATGTAAAGATTAGAGGTGCCCAGAATAAATTGTCCATTAGTTCATGCTACTATATCTGCCTACCCTGCTCTAGTTGTTATTCTTTTTAGAGTCAGAATCCTTTTTTTTTTCCTGAGTATGTTAATTACTCTATAGCTTTCTAATACTTTTGTTTTCTTTTTGTCGGTTGTGGGTCCTGAACTCTGGGCCTGGGCACTGTCCCTCAGCTCAACGCTAGTGCTCTACCACTTGACCATAGCACCATTTTCACCTTTTTCTGCTTATGTGGTACTGAGGAATCGACCCCAGGGCCTCCTTCATGCAAGGCAAGCACTCTACCACTGAGCTACCTTCCCTGCCCCGCTTTTTAATACATTTTATAGGTTTATCAGTTAGCAACTGGTTGGTATCAGTTAACAAGTTCTGGTACCAAACTGTGCACACATCACTTCTTAAGCTCATGATTCTTTCTCTGATTTGAGATTGTCACTGGGCTCAGCAGGGCATTTTGTATGGACTCTGTTGGGTTCCTGGCTGAGTCATCTATAGTCAGATTCAGTGCCCTGGGCAGTTGTGTTTCTGGGCATTTACCAGTCATCTGCAGGGACACCATTCAGCATGGTAGGAGTAGGAAGATTCCTGGACCATGTGTCTTTTACCATCTAGCAAGTTGCCCTGGGTCTTTTCATAGAGTAATGCAGGGTTCCTTGTGGAAAAGTAGAAACGTGAACGGCCTCTTGAAGCCTCAATGCAGGTTGGCACAGAGTTGCTTCTGCTGTGTCCTGTTTCCTGAGTCGACTCAAGTGGCAGCCAAGATGCAGGAAATGGAACAATAGATATGCATGCCATCTTTACAGAAGTAGCTGTAACATCTCAAGACAAAGAAGTAAAATACAAAGAGGAAGAATAATTAACCATCTGCTATATACACTCAGTTCTTTTCACTACATTATTGCTAAAGAACTGGATATACCATGTAGCCCAGGTGGTAGGGCACCTGCCACTGAGCATAAAACATCAGGTATGCAGTTCGAATCCCAGTCTCTGACAAAAACAAAAAGCATCCCCTAAAACATTGACTTGTACCTCTATCATTGAGTTAACTGATACGGGAAAGTCTTAGGAGTCAGTCAGTCCCTCTAAGCAACATAGAATAAATCTCTTACTTCTCCTTAATGGCAGCTCATTGTATCTTACGGGAGTTGCTTGCCGCTCCTCTGCAGCCTTCTCAACTACAAGTCTCAAAGGGCTGTCACCATTAATTGTATCGTCTGCTGCACTACTTAAGAGTCAGTGTGTCACCTGACAAGCTATGTATGACATATACCAGTGAGGCTTTTCCCCCATTATATTACTTCTTCTTGGTGTATCTGTTGTAGCATTCGCTAAAATAATCTCCATTTACCTTTGTAGCAAAGATATATGTGGGGACTGGGAAGGTGGCTCAGTGGTAGAGCACTTGCCTTGCATGTCTGAGGCCCTGGGTTCAATTCCTCATCACCACATAAGCAAAAAGAAAAAAACCCGGAAGTGGCACTGTGGCTCAAGTGGTAGAGCGTTAGCCTTGAGCTGAAGAGCTGAGGGACAGCGCCCAGGCCCACAATTCAGGCCTCACGACCAGACCTCCCCCCCCCAAAAAAAAAGATATGTATGTATGTGTGTGTGTGTGTGTGTGTGTGTGTGGGTACTCTATATCATTCACAGAGTAAGGCAAATGCTAATTCTAACATGCGATGATGTAGGTGGTTCTAGTCAGTTTTTATCCAAGTTCTGACTCAGCCCAGACTCCTTTAGGTTTGTAAGATCTAATAAGATCATAGCACAGGGTGGTATAGCTGCAGGCAGAAAATTCTGCTTGCCAAATGTATTTTCCTTTATAGTGAGTTCATAAATTAAGGCAGGTCCCTGAGCCACTGTGCCTGTATGCATATATTACAACAGATCTCCCTTTGATTGGGCACCTTCCCTTCTAGCCACTAATTTCTCTGAGATGATGCCAAACTCCTGGGCCTATACCACTTTAACATTCCCTACCTCTCCATGTCAAATGATAATTAATATGACTTTACAGTTGAGGTGGTACTCTTCTTCCATTAATAATACCCATTATTTCTAGGTGTTTTAACGAGTTTAAAAATTGACTCTGGGGGTGGAACTTGGCTTGGAAGCTTATTTTAAAGTGAATAGTTTGTTTTTAATTTTTTCCTTTTTTAGTGAGCTTTGCTTTTAAAAGAAATTTTGTGTTGCTTTTGAGTTATACATGTATTGGACAAAATTCCTAAAATAAGTATCATTTTGGATATATAATTCATTTTGATATCAGTCTGCAGTATCTCATAGAGCTGAGACCTCCCAGGGGTTTTTAACCTGTCATTTGTGTGGCAGAATAGAGCTCTGTTGTATTGCTTCAATTGCCCTCAGATTGGGATTTTTTTTTACACTGTTTCTCACAACTCTACCCCAAATTTTCTTTTTATGCCAGAGCATTTAAACGTTCTTACTGAATTGTTTCTTGTGATAAGACACAATCCATTTTTACATCTCATTTTTATGGATGTCTTATTTTTCTATTGTAGACTTGGTAGAAGAGACACAAAGGAAAGACGAAGAAATGGAATCACTGCAGGTATAGTAAATTCTCAAGTAGGGCATGTATTCTCATGATTAAAAATACTTGGTTTTTGCTCTGTTATCCTTTTTATTGCTATAAAGTAGACCAGAAAATGCCATGTGAAGGGTTGAAAGTTGAAATTGGAATTTGCTTCCTTTAGCAGTCTCTGAGAACACCTACAATGTAAAGCAGGAAGCCAGCTCAGCCTTTAGGCTACTCTTGAAAGGAACCACTATGTCTTTGCCAAGTATAGTAGGAGCTTCAGCATCAGGAAAAGAATGCAGAATCCTTCAAAAGTCATGTCCTCCAAATCAAGGCTTATAAGTGGTAATGGATTGATGGAATCTACATTTTTCAAGTGAAAATCAAGCATATTCTTCTAGTCCCTGAATGTTATCCTGATAGGAATCTTAACACTTATATGGAGCTTAACATTTGCCTTAGAGCCAGTCACCAAGTGGCTTACACCTATAATTGTAGCTACTAAAGAGGTTAAGATTTGAGTATCTCAGTCCAAAGCCAGCGTGGGCAGAAAAGCCCGTTAACTGGAGACTTTTATCTCCAGTTAACTACAAGAAAGCCAGAAGTATAACTGTGGCTCAAGGGTAAAGAATTTAGCTTGAGCCAGAGAAGCTCAGGGACAGTTCAAACCCCAGGATTGACAGTTTTTTGTTTTTGTTTTTTTTTTGTTTTTTGCTTTGGCTAGCCTCTCAATTTACCATGGATTTATGCACACTTCTTGAACTAGAAAATTATGTTTGAAAGATTCTGCTAGAATTTTAATTGACATTTCCATGGTATGAACAATTGATGTTTAGTTGGCATCTGACAGAAGTTCTCTTCCTTTTACATTGGGTTAACTCAAAAGAGGATAACTCAAATGTCTATCTTTATTAGAGAAAACATAATCAGTTTTACTCACATGACAGAACCAATTCACTTAATGTCATGTTGGAGCTTACAAATAGTAAATAATTTGGACATTTAGAGTTCTCTTCATGGGCCTTGAGGCAGGACTAGAGGGTGAGATAATGAGCTGGCTTGGGTGCTTTAGGGATGAAGGTATTTGTTTCTGATAAATGGAGGATGGCCAAATGAAGTCCAAAGGAGCAGGAAAAATATTTTATGATTGGAGATTTTTCTGTTTTGACCCTTAATGACATTAATAGAAAATTGTGTAATTGACCTGAAGATGTTGTTGTTACAGTTTTGGATATGCAATAAAAGTGGCACATGATAGCTTCAGTTTTGCAATTCTTTTTAGTCTCTTGCATTATATTTAGGCCTAAGAAGAAAGAGCACTAGTTTGGTGTAAGGCTATGAAAAATCTGAAGTATATTGCAGATTCTATTTCTGCTTATCCCGATGAAATTAATATCAGCAGTGCTTATTCCAAAATGAAAAGCTGTATTTACACTAAATGTGTATATTGAGAAAATAATACAATCTTATTAGGCATTTTCGTTATGTGTTCTGATTGCCATTGGCTCCAGAATATCACATATAAACATATTTATTGAGCACAGATAGTCTTTCAAATGACATTATAAATAGTTGTTATCTCATTTCTTGCACAATACAGATTTTGCAACAGTAGTCCCATTAAATTGAATAGTCAATGTTGCTTCTCAAATATTTATTAAGTATTGGCACCATTTTCTTCCTACACGTCCAGCCAGTGCAATAAAAGGCACCAGCCAACCAGCTCTGGGCATTTATGGATGTAGAATGTGCTGTACAGTGCTCTACGACAGAACAGTTAAATGTTGGCACATTGTAATGGTGATTAATATCTCATACTAAAACTCTATTGAGAAGAGAGGAAACTAACACCTCTCAGAGTGAGGGGAGTTCAGAGTCACATCCCAGAAAGCCTTTAATGGAAAGTCTAGAGGAAGATCCATAGACAGTGCATGAATCCCTGAGTTTCTGTATTGAGATATATGTGTTATGTATGAAAGTTTGGAGGCTACTAGAAGACTAGTAAAAAATTAGTATGTAGGTTGAGTTCTTAAAGTAGCACAACAGTACAATTCTGAGAAAATGGACATTTTCTAGAAAATGATGACAGTAAGGATTGGAGGTTAAAAACGTAAGTCCTGGCTCTGCTTCTGATTCGCTAGATAACCTTATAAAACTTAAATTAATTTTGGTGTGCCTATTTTCCCATCTGTAATATCACATCATGAAACAGTCTTCCACAAGTGTTTAGTGTAGGTTAGATTGTCCTAGAAGAGAGAGCTAAATATTTAATTCTAATGTAAAATATTAGCAAATCCTCATGTCTCCAAACTGGGATGATTTTATGTATTCCTTGCCGGCTTAGAATCGTTCATAATTATATGTATAAGGTATTCTATTCACTCTTGGAATGAATAATCACTGAGCAATGATACTATGTGTGGCACTGTAGCAAGTAGAAGGGTCTATGGACAAGCTCCATGTACCAGATTACTTCTTGTCCTTTATTGCAGACTTATCAGATACCAGTATTAAATGAGTGTTTAAAATAAATGTTGAGAAATGGCATTAGAGGTCATGTATAATAGGAACACTTAAGTTGTGTGAGTACAATAGGAAGTACATCAGTCCTGTCATAGGAACATCTGTCTTTGCTATTGGAGGTAGGTTGAAATTGAATGGGAGTTCAACATAATTGAAGGTTGATAGGCTAAGTGGAGTTGGAGTGACAATCTAAGTTAGCTTCCTAAAGGAAACCAGTGTTTAAGTGGCAAGTAAGAGTTATCTAAGCAAATTTGGCCTGTATGTAAAAAAAGTTTTAGGTCCCAGAAAGGATGTGGAAAGTCTTATGTGAAGGAAAGAGCAATTTCACACTTCAGGGCCTGAAAGAAGTGCACTGTAGGGGGCTGGGAAGGTGGCTCAGCGGTAGAGTGCTTGTCTTGAATGCATGAGGCCCTGGGTTCGATTCCTCAGCACCACATAAGCAAAAAGAAAAAAGCCGGAAGTGGCGCTGTGGCTCAAGTGGTAGAGCGCTAGCCTTGAACTGAAGAGCTGAGGGACAGCGCCCAGGCCCAGAGTTCAGGCTCCACAACCGGACCCCCCCCCAAAAAAAAGAGGTGCACTGTATGGAATGGAGCACCTAAAAGAGGAGTTTGTAAAATAGGAGTTTGTGAAATACAGCTACTGTGGATGCAAAGTCAGTGAAAGGTTTGGAAAATAACAAAAGAAAGGTCAGATTTGCAGTTTGAATAGGTGACCGGCTATCAAGTTGAAAGTAACTGGGAGCAGATGAGACTAAAGCCAGCAGCACAATGAGCCACCTGGTTGTTTATGAGACTCTTGGTTAGAGCAGGCAGTGCCCTGGGTTGGGTAGCAGCGGGCAGTTTTAAGAGTAGTGATGGCTTCTTAATATTTTTTAGGATATATTTATGTTTGTTTTAAAGAAACTTTAAGTTTGGTGCTTAGGAAGTAAAATGAAAAAAATAAGAATGCTCTTTGCTTTCTTTTTTTGAGCAATTTCATCAGTGTTTGTGCTCATCAGTGGGAAGGGGAGTCGATGAGTTCAATTTCTCTCTTTGTCAGTGCCTAGTCAGCAGTGACAGTAGGGTAATAGGGGAAATCATATAAGTCTTGCACTCAGGGGACTTTAAAGGAGCATGCAGAATTCCGTGTTATCAAATCTGGTGTCAGTAAAAGGTATAGTAGCAGTTAACTCTCAGGGGAAGGATGTAGGATGAGATAAAATGAAAGCCTAGGCCAAAGAAAAAGTCATTAGAACAGAATAAACATTTGCCCTATCTCTTCTGTTATGGGTTTTGGTTTTAAACCAAAAAAATTACTACCTACCGAGTGTTAAATTTTTGTCGTTCTCATGAAATAACTCTCCTTATGTGTAATTTTCCCAAATACTCACCACTGAACACAAGTCCTTACCATAGTTGGTGTTCAGTAAATTTCTGTGGACTGACAAAATGAATGCCACACTACTAGTCTCTTATTTAATCAAACATCTGATCCTGGATCTCTTCAAGTTTCAATCATTAAAGACTGGTTCTTGTCCAAGAGTTTTTTGTTTGTAGGGTCTTGCCATTATCCCAGGCAAAGCTCAAACTGGTGATCTGACTTTGCCTCCTCTGTGCTGAGCTTTATAGATATGTATCACCATGACAGTCCTAGAATTCATTTTGTGGGTGAGACTTCCATGTAATACTATCCTTTTGTGGCTATGTGAGCGCGCGTGCGCGCACGCACGCACGCACACACGCACACACGCACGCACACACACACACACACACACACACACACACACCATTATCTCTTTTTCACAGTTCTACCTTTCCCCTCCAGCTCTGCTTTCCATCCCTTCTACAAGGTACTTTTGAAAGAAAAGTTTGTAAGAGAGTAACTTGTAACTTGGTGAGGAGCAGTGGAAAGGTTAAGATGGCAGGGGCAAAGGGATGGGCAGCAAGGAGGAGAATGTTCTCCATCTTACAACAAATCACAAACAACAGAGACAAATACATTTGACAGTGACAGTTACAATGCAGCTGGTAATTACCCAAATTTTTCATTGCAGCTTAACTTTGCCTGGCTTATTTTTTGTGACATTTCTTGCAGTTACATTGTGTGCTGCCCTTCTTAAAAACACAGCAATGTCTTTGACTCTAAATGTGCCATGCCTTATCAGAGTTCTATTTGAATATGAGTTTGAGGAACATTGACACAAACAAATCCCTTCTTTAATCCTCTTGAGATCATAGGAAACACTTAAAATAGGCACAAAAAGTTATCCATTTTCCCTCAATTTATTGAAATGTATTCGGTGACTTGGCACCTTGCTTGCAATGGCTGGTAATGTTGGCACTGCTGCTTTATTTTCATTTTTCCCCAAAATACCAACTTACATAGTTCACGTTTAAGTGATTATTGTTTTTTCCCCATGTTACTTTGTTTGCCCCAACATGCACTAAAAAGATACTCTGCTTAAGAAAAGCTGGATGGTGCTGTCTATAAAGATCACCATGCCCAGGAGCTGAACAACTTACGTGCCCCTC